AATTTGGTACGGCTGCACACATGCGGCAAGTGCGTGAAAAGCTGTGTGTTGGAAAAACACACACATCGGCCAACTGCTTGAACTCCGACAAACCCGCTTTTAAGTCTCTGAAATGCACAGCTGGAAGACCAAAGCAGACTGTGGACGGTGAAGGGGCTTCTGTGTTTGGTTACAGTAGCCTGCAGAGAAAGAGAGATCATTCACAGGAAGTTGTGCATGTGTCTGCTATAAATGGACCGCTTAGCGTACTCGTTTTTAGAAAGGATGTGGGCCTTCATGTAGCTAGCAGTGGAAAGATGACTTGTTGTTTACATGTTAGCCATGGATTGTATTGGTGGGGTGGGAGGGTGACCCTAGATAAGTAAACACCCCGTAAAGAAACACAAATATTAGCTTTGGAGTGTTACGTTTAAAACAGAGGGCTAGCCAAGGAATGGGCAAACGACAGTCCGTGGCCGGATACAGCCCTTTTGGCTTTTTATTCCGGTCCTAATTGTTATTAATTTATATTATTAATATACTTTTCCCTGCAATAGATGCATTTCCCCAATAGATGGCGTAGAAAAGGCTAAAAGCATTTTAGCATTTTAGCCTTTATGCATGACTTTTACATGTCATTTATCTTAGCTCACTCAAACGGTCCGCCAGTTTGAAAATGTCTCATAGATTCCATTGAAGGAGTTATTGTTAACGCCTTACAATCAATACAAGTCATGCTAACTAGATGATTTAGCATATTAGCAGTTTTCTGCTTGAACTTGAACCTGTTTTTGCCTTCTGGCGACAACCCTTTCTGTAGTAGGACATTGACGACTTACGTTTTGTCATCGACCAACTCAAATGCACCGTTTCTTGATAACACACCTTAACAACCAGATACACGTCCACAGGTGGACTTTCAGACAGACGTCAACTGTCTTCTTAGTTTAGATGGCAGGTGCTGAGAGAATAAAGCCTGGTTTATGGGTCGACATTTGACACTTGATAATGGTTCCTTAATGACTCATGAAATGTTTTTAGTCTGTGCTCCAGTGATAGATTTCAGTTGTCTTCCTGTTACCACGCGGATCCATCCGACTTCTATTTTTAAGGTCTTTTACTGACAGGACAATGGCTGCAGAGGAAATGGTGTTGACGAGTGTGTGTCACTAAGCCAATCAGGGGATGAGCATTTGATGACAACGTCTTGTGCATTTGTTGCCACCGGACACCTTTAATTGACTATCTTGAATTGTTGTGAGTGGATTTTGTCGTGCATGGCGTTCTTACAGTGTCTTTATAGTCAAGTCACAAACAATCTGTATGTGAAACAGTTCAAACGTCTCCCAACATGACGAGTTCGTACGAAGGCTAATCCCCACACCTGCTCCTGCAGAGGAATGCACTGTTAAAATTACAACTAACCGCAGAAGAGCTGCGGAAGAGAATATTTTTTAGATCAAGGATGGCGCTAGCATTCACGCTAACACAGTTGTTCGGATCTGTTGTGTCGTCAACAGGCAGATTTGAGATGCACTTTCTTTACACTCTTTTTGCGCTGTCAACTATTGCGCTAATGCAACCAGTTTACAGTGTGCTGTCAACTATTGCGCTAATGCAACCAGTATTGTTGATGAGGAAATTACGTAATCAATAGAAGAGGGAACAGTACAATCGAAAATAGCACAGAACATGCTAATAGCTCATTTTAGTAGTTAGTGTTATTTCTTTCTGGTTTTATTGTATGTTCATGAGGAACATACGATAACTCATTAGCGACCTACTGTAGATCATTTTAGTAGTTACATACGATAACTCATTAGCGACCTACTGGTGACTAGTGCCCACTCCAATAGAAAGTAGACTAGCATGCTAGCGGCTGTTACACAGTAGCTACAGTTACTAGCTTTTTAACCATCCCTTGAAATATTGGTAAAATCGTTTCTTTGTCATTTTAAGATTAATATTAACACATTTTAACAATTGTTTTTTTATTTCTGTAGTTTTTATTTTTTTTATTTTGATTTAGCAGTTGCTGTTTACCACTCATACAACCTTTTTCGACGTTTTTTTTTCTCGCCCAAACATCTACTGTACCTCAAACTGAATCTGTGGGCCGGGGCCTTGTGTTAGTGGACCAACGTGTCTATTCTCCAGATTAAGACCTCACTCACACTCACACGGCCTGAACAATAGGTGGATGACATATCAGTGGTCGGAGCTTTTCCCCCTGGCCTGGCACCTAATCCACTTAAAGCCAATTACAAGACCATTGTTGTGATCGCCTTCCAAAAAATGACATTGGGGCGTGTGCTGGAAGGATCAGGGACGTTCCCAGTCCAGGACACAACCTCAGCTTTGCCTTCTCTTTCACTCACTCAGCTGTTACATACATTAGCTTCAGCAGCGGTAATAGATTTAATCACCGTCTCGGCCACAAAAGAGTTGACAAATTAGATCATACTGTTGTAAACTCTGGGTATGTGGTGCAAACTCCAGTGGTTAAAAGGTGTTTGTGCGGACGTGTCAACGACGTCTGTGCTTTAAACCTTATTGTGTTTTGAACAAGGAACACAAATTGATTAATGATTATTAACTTTTATAAAAGCGAGTGTCTTTTCTAGGATCTTCTAACTCTATGGGCTGCGTTTAGAAAAATAGAAAACCAGGAACTCCTCGCGTCTTTGTCTCAGTTTAACTGGTGATGTGTTTCATTTACAGTACCATTAGTCTAGAGACACAGTAAAAGCCATGTTGTGAAATTCAACACTATATGAACAGCATTGGAACATAGTAAAACACATTGTGCATATCATCCAAAATAAATTGTTGGAACTTTACAATAACATAATACTGTTGAACATGGTAAAGTTAATGAATATTTTTGTTTGTTTTTATTCAATGTTGTTGTTGCTATTAATTATATGATACCTCTAGGTTGGGTTTTTCAAAAAATCTGAAATGAACTAAGGGGCCGTTTTAAATTAACTAAGTAAACCAGCTATTTGGGAAATGGGGTAGTGGGCTGTTTTAATCTAAATAAAAACAAATAGATATTAAACCAAATACTTCAAACTGAACTTTGGTGGCCATGTTCTAAACCCCGAGAAGATGAGATGGTGACACAAATAATCCATTCACGTCTTGTTTTTGTTCGAGCACAGACAAAAAAGGTCACACATACACTCGCACATGGACTCAACATACACACTGCAGCATGTCGTACAGTACAGCATGTTGCTTTAATTACACGGCAAGTCGACCCTGCGACATATTTTTCCGTCTTATTTACGACGTGTTGTGGCCATTTGCGTCTAAAGTGAGTGAGTGGGGGCAGGGGGAAGAGAGTGCTGCAGTTAGTCAGGAATTCAAACCACTTGTGTCAGAAAAAAAAACGTGTTACTGGAAATGCTGCGTTTTATAATTAAAACAAATGCGGCAGAAATGAACTTCCTTCTAATTACAGGCACCAGAGGCTGGCCTTTATTCACAGGTGTCAGAAACTCTCTTCATGACTACGACTGGGGTCTAAATATATATATTTAAAAAACAAACAATAAATGAACAACTGAGTGGAGACAAAGGAAATGCCTTCAAATGTTTTTCACGACAGCTAAG